ATGATGGCAGGATGATCATGATGGAGGGGCACGTCGCATTGGTGGACGACATGAAATTTGCAACGAGAAAATACAGGGCAGCCTATGGCTTAGAACAGGTGGAAGTGAGACAGGAGGGAAAAGAACTAGATGCAGCAGGTCAACTGCACGTAGCCCTGACGGAGTACAAGAAATTGGACCCTACGACACCATCACCACTGTCAGTGGACACGCCTGGAGACAAGAGGAGTGGACCCGTCGAGGACCGGCTTAAGAAAATTCTCGAGAGAAGGAGACATGAGTCAGAAGAAGAGAGTATGGATGAAACTCTCAATGAAGCCGGTGAAGACATGGAAGTGGGGAATACACCTGAACCAGGGCCATCAGGGGAGAAGCTCACCACTCAAGAGCTGTTGAAAGATTTGAGCGAGGAGAATTGGGCAGATACTGCCACCCCACCTCTGAATCCGTCCCCCCGGAAGAATCTGGAATTGCCATTGGCAAATGAGACCTTCAATATGGGGATGATACTCTTGAGCTCGGAGGAAAGGGAAAGGAACACTTTCGAAGGGAACAGGGACATATTCCTGGGGTCCCTGAAGGACGATGCTTGGCAGGAGTTCTTGGAAGAATTCAATCAAGAAGCGGGCAGCGAGACGACGCTGGACAAATTCAAGGAGGAACTGTGGGACACAGTCGTAAGATTTGGAGAACAGCTTCTGATAGGAACGGGCCTGGATGAGAAGGCGAGAAAAGAGCTGCTGAGCAAGCTGGTAGAGCTGAGGAATTCACGATCGAAGACTAGAGAAGAAAAATGTGAGGACAGCTCTACTCTGAGACAAAAAACTGTAGATAAAATAGTTGATGATATAAAAAGGGATAAGGTTGGGACTAGTAATATGATTAAAAGTACTAATATCCTTAAGGCTCGAGCAGGGGGGAGGCAAGAGTTGGAAGGATTGGGGGTAGACAGAGAGGTCGAATCAGTGATGATAGCTACAACACCCTCAAGCAGAGATGTGAAGACTCGCAAGAGGAAGAGAGAAGTGGAGGGATTGGGTAGTCCTTCAGTGGATGCTGTTTCGGAAGGAAACTTGAGAGAGACGGCGCCCATGGTTTTGGCTCGATGCAAGACGGCGGCATACAAGAGCAGCTCGGAGCTCAGAAGACCACTTGATGTAGAGAGGGAAATAGAGGTTTCCACCAGTTCGACATCGGAGGAAGACTTCAAGCCTCAGAAGATAAACGTAAAGAGAGGTTCAACGAACGGACAGACATGGGAAGTGGATGTCGGCAAAGAATGGATCTCGAAGGCACACCAGGCCACGGTCAAGCAAGTGACGAGTGATCCATTGGAGAGGAACAAGACGAGGAACACCTCCCGGACGTGGTGGGTGGCCTTCGAGACATTAAAGGAAATGGAGGACTGCTTGAAGAAATTGGACAGTGGAGTAGCTCGCAAGCGACGCAATTGGGCCACCCAGCAAAAGGCCGAGGTTAATAAAATAGAAGTGGCGAATCAGCTGAAGAGGTCCTGGCAGAACTTGTTGAAGGATCATTTTGAAGAGGCAATGAGGACATCCTCATCAGCACCACCATTAATGGCGAATCCCTTCGTAAGAACTGCAGGACAACTAATGTTCACCTGGAGTCTGGTGGGAATAGAGTTGGAGACATTGACCTCGTATGATAGACTGAAGTTGGGAAGCAAAAACTTAGATGTGTATCAAGCATTGATGCAACACGTGGCTAGGGACAATTCAGGCTTGAGCCTGGCTAGGAGGAAGGATGCCACATGTTTCTTGAGATGGATAATGTCAATGATGTCTGATAGTACCATCTTGGCATGCCACCAGAGAGCAAGCGGAAAAAAAACCGTGGAAAAAAGAGTCTCAACAATTATCTTAAACGTGTATCAGAGTACTGGTATAGAAAAAGAAGATGGTTCCAGACTATCCCTAGAGAACCACAGAAAGCTGGACGAGGTCCGGAGATTTTATAATAAGAAGTTCGAAGAAGAGCATGATGTTCACCGTAACCTGGCCTCGTCAGAGCAGTACTCGAGACCCAGCGAGAAGGGGGAATACCAATACGTGTCAGGAGTGATGGGAATAGCCTACAACCCCTTCTTAGACTCAGAAACTGGAGGCGCTCACAGGAACCACGAGGTGGCGGAGCTACTGAAGTTTTGGACAGAAAGAATAATGGAAATAGAAACGGTAGAGAAAGAAGGGCCGAGCCTGGGCCTGATTCTTGAGAAAACACCAGAGGTGGTAAGCATACCGCGTTCGAACAAGAGAGTTGAAGTGAACATGGGTGATGGAAATGGCTTGTTAATCACGAACTTGGGAGTTGTATGGAAGCTATTAAGACCCTCCTGGTGTCCACATCCCCACGCGAGTCTGATCGAGGAAACCACCGAGCGAGTGAGGCTAGCACCAACGGAAGATGAAGATCTGGCAAAGTTGAGTGTGTTGCACAAGCTAATCTCACCTCAGACGCAGGAGTCAGGCGAAAAGACGAGCAAGCTCGGGTCGGCAAAGAAGATGGAGCCGTGTAGCTGTCTGGATTCGACGTGTCGGAACGGAGAGCACACCTGCGATGGACGGTCATGTGTCAGAATACTGTCCTTTCAAAAAGAAGACCTGGTCACTTGGTTTGAAGACATCACGGAAAGGGAGAAAAGTGAAGTGCAAATAGTAGCGGAGTGTTACGCGAGAACTACGGTGAACATAGCAACAGCTCTCGGATTCTTCTCGAGAATGTGTAGTCTGCAGTCACTGGAAAGACTAGAGTCTGAACACCATTTAGTGACGGCGTTGAGCGTGGAATTATGGCCGGGAGTGTTGCAGGTGACTCAAAAGCATATCCGGAGCTGGAAGGTTGGTCTCGAGGCAGAAATGGGGTTTCCCATGAGCGAAGCTTATGGCCTGCCATTGAACGCAAAATCCCTGATAGGGTCAATGATGGCCAATTTGCGCGGAAGCCACTACCCACTGCACATGGCGATGGTGGAAGCATCCAGCCAGAGAATATTGGTGGACAAGGCCTTCTCAGTGCCCAAGTGCGTGAGGTTGGCTCGGATATCGCATCACTCGCACAAGTTGCTGAGAAAAATTAGAGGGATAGTACCAAAAGAATTGAGAGATGACTTGAGTGAAATCTGGGGAGAAGAATTTTTAAAGTTGGAGAGTGAGAATACCAGCGATCACGAGAGACAAAACGTGATCGGAAAGCCTGTGGGAGGTGCTCCAAACATGGAAGATAATGACACGATGCATGAGAAAATGATAGAGCTTAAGCCTCTTTTGGAAGCCTCAGGAGCATTGAGATCACCCATGGAGAATGCCCATGCCACTGTTTGGCACAAACGGTGTGGTATCCAGATCACAAGAACCTTTGCCTGGTGTGGGATATGGAAGAATTTCGGTCGATCGGACTACCGGATCACCGGCAGAAGGTGACGCTCTTAGTAGTGAGTACGATGTTGGCTCTGAGATGGATAGAAGAGAATGTGACGAAGTATCGGGAAGCAACGACGCCAACGGCTGAGTCAATATACGCGATAGACTACAGCAGGAGACTCGAGTTGTTTGAGACTGCGTGCAAAATATTCGCCATACCGACGGAAGTCAGACACATATGGAGCCGTTTGAGGTACTTTCCATGGTTTCGGGCGACACTGACGTCTTGGTTGTACGTGACAACGAAAGATCACATGAGAAAGCATCAAAAGGAGTATCGACAGTTCCAGGCCGAGATTGGGCCAGAAGCTTTCAAGAGACCCCTGTTAACCCATCGAAATGCGATCACGACAGGATGGAAGAGAGTGGGTAAAATGTCTAGAGACAATACCAAAGCGAGGGAATCGATACTAGAGGAGGACCTGGCGAAGAACGTGAGCTTGAGCCTACACAACTCCTTTTGTTTGAACCGGGAATCTAGGGTGAAGGCACTACCCAACCAGGCAAAGAGGTTGCAGGAGCAAAGAGAATGGATGCGATCCTACGAGCAGCTGAAGGCTTGGGAGGAAATCGTGATTAGCTCCGATGATGAAGAAGAACTGTTGAGACAGTTTGCCGTATCTAGTACTTCAGGGTGCAGCACCTCCAAGGCGAAGAGTGCGAGGTGAGTGGATGATTCGAATGGATCTTGAGTCTTGAGAGGGAAAGGGGGCTTGAGTGTTGATCCGGGTGAAACCTGGGTTCACGAAAAAGAAATTTTAACAAAACAAGATATTGTTATTAATATGCTATATCTATTATATAAACGAAAATGCTGCATGACAATTTCCTAGTTGAATGGGACAAAAGAATTTTTAAATAATTGGCTTGAAAAGCGAGAATTCATAGGTGCAGGTGTGTGCAGATTTTGATTGCTGTTTAGCGATAATGTGAAAATTTTACATGGCCGTGAATTTTGGGGTGTAGATAAGCTTAAGTCTGCTACAAACTTCTGTAAATGATCACTGGCACTGTACCTTGAGCAACACTCGGTTTTCGGGGACTCACTGGCAGACGACAGCACGCGATGAGGACATCGATCTTGAGTCCGGGGAGTATGTGCCAGTCGGTCATATTTGGAAGTTTGACCTTGAGAAAAGCAAGAGCACTTGATTTTGGGGTGAAATTAAGTTTTTCAAAAATTCGAATGGAGTACGAACTTGTTCTTGTTGTTAAAACTGACAAACATTAAACTCATTTTAATTATATTATTTGATTCTCGAGTTGATTACCGACTTGATTACTCCCAGTTCTTGAGCGTGCTACAATGTGAGTACAAATTTAAATTTCTAGAGTGTGTTTTATGATTATTATGTTGAGGTAAGGCGAGTTTTAGGTTGATCCATCTGAAATGGATCAAAGTTCCACTGTCTAAATAAAAGTAACTTAACGGATTGTTCCAACCCGGTTTTTAACGGCGTTCATGTATTTTGGGTATCTAGAGACCTAAGTATGAGGACGTTCTTAATTCTAGAGTGGGGGGATATTTTAGTAGTAGCCTTTAAGCTGTAACGGGTCGTAGTCTCATGTCACAAACGAACCGAATTGGCTCCGACTGATTTGAGGTAGAAAAACACAAGAGATAGTGTCCCTGACTCTTGAGCCAATAGTTATAGGGCCTATTTTTCTTAAGCCTCATGTGTGACTGCAGTAGACGAATGTTACAATGCGTACATATATTTTAATAAAAATAGTTTATTTCCCACCAATCATTTTAAGTTACTGCTGGTTTAATCTCAATATTTACAATCCGATCCGCATGCCAGTATCCCTGTACACTTTCTTAGCAGATCCTCGAGTGTCGCTGAACCATCTTCGAATAAGGTACACTTCGGATACATATACCACTACCATGCACACACATACTAAAGTGGACAGTGAGTTGATCCATCTCTGCTGGTCTGACTGGAAGAAAGCGTCTTTTATGACTAAGGATCTGGCCCTCATGATCGCCACTCGAGACCGGCCGATCTTCATCTGGAGTGACCTGATGTGGACCTGGAATAAATGAATCCGCATAATAAAGCCAGACCTAATGAAACCTTTTCAACCATTCTGTATAGCCAGACCAATATTGTCTGAATACGTTTCAAGGCTGTTTTTTTTTAATCGCGGCAAGCGAAAAAGCGGTACAAAGTTTGTCTTGGAATATTAACCAGGTCGTAATTTTTCATTCAACCGCGTCTGACGTGAAACTGAAGAAATTATATGATAATGACTTTGCTTTGAATTATCTTCAGATCCAGACAAATCGACCTCTAAAATTACGATTACTTGATTTTGCTCCAAATAAAAAGTAAAGCAGACCTTGATTGCGTCTAGGTTGACGAGGTAGTTTTTCTCTTCCTCTTCCCTCTTTTTCTTCTCAGCCTCTTCTCCTGCTCTGAATGGATCATCTTGTTCAGTGTCTACACTTGAACTCCCCTCATTTCGTTCTAAATTTTCAGCCTCTGCGATGCCCGTGGGGGTAACTACAGTGTCTGGTTGTTGGTATATGGAAATGTCAAGAGAGGCCACTTTTGGTGAGGATGCACCCCATCGGTTGCTCAAACAGATGTCGAAACTACCTAGACACAAATGAGTTCATCATTATCCCAATTTTTTGTTGATTCAATTGACCAACTTCATTATATTTTGTGCCCTGATTGCAAAAAAAAACACTCCTGGCAATTGGAAAACTCAATTGCAAAACTAATAGGGAAACTTTTTGTTTTCGTGGAAAAAAATCATATCATTAAAAACGTTTTGAAATGAATTAGTTGAATAGTTTGTAAAGGTGGAGTGGCTGAAATACTTCTTGTTTCGAGTCGTTAACTAACTCTGTTCTTACCATCGTGGGGTGTTTTGACTTGTCTGTTGGTCTGCTTGGAGGGTGCCATAGGATCCAGGTGTTTCTTGGTCTGCTGGTCTCGGATGAACAGCCACAGTTTACCATCCCCGCCTCTCAAAACCTGGAATCGATTTAATCTTTTTTTTGTATATCAACTGATTTTGTCAAGCAGTGACGGAGAAACTTCCTGTGAAATTTTTTCCAACTGAAAATCGAATTGATCAGTTGACTCAGATGCAGTTTGAATAATAGTCTTTGTGATCCAAAAATTATGGAGCTATGTTAGACTTCACCCTTCGTTTATGAAAGATTTTCAATATTAGGACTTATCAAAAGCTAAATCTAGAGCACTTTCACATTTTTTTTATCTGAGTAAAAACCATTGGCAGGCCATTCTGGAGGTTCATTGTCTTTTGCTTGTAAGTCAAACTTCTGAAAGGAAAACAGGGCATTTAATTTAAACGCGTTTTAGATTATAATTATATTTTTTCAAAGATTTGGCTTTGAACGGTTCTTTTCAAAGTTTGTGATTGAAATAAAAATTTTAGGCAATCAAATAATTGTCTTGATCAGTCTGACCTGCATTGACACAGTGAGTGTGTCGTGTTTCTTGAGATTGACCGTGAAACATGACTCCTCCCTCGGCTGCAACAGGGGCATGAAGTGTCTGGATCTGAATACAGTCTCCACTCTAGTTCTCTCATCTCCCTCTCCATACTCGTAGTCGTAGTAGTCGTCCTTGAACTTGAAGTTTAACTCATTCCGACGGGGTACTCTAGGGGCTAATTCCACGCAGAAAACACAAGTTAGACATCCGAGCGTGCAAAGAGGGTTAAGTTTTGGTTTTATTTGAAAAATAACTTTCGTTCAGTGAAAATAAAAATAATTATACAGTTGATAACACGTATTGTAGAAATAGTGCCTAGTAGAAAGAAGGATGTTTGGTTATCGTGCAAGTAGCGCTGATTTTTCCCACCTTGTGAGGTTTTTAATCAAAATTATAAAAAAGAAGAAAATCATGAAAAAAATGAAAAGTTTTAGTTAGACCTTTTTTGTTTTATTGTTTTATTTTTAGTTAGTGATAAGTATTGTTTTTTAAACAGATTTTTTTTTATTTGTTAGTGATAATGGGCTGGATTGATTGGTTATAGTCTGGAAGTGTAAACAGATAAAAATCGCAAAGAGAAGAAACTATGGCGTAATGTGTTTTTTCTCGCCCTCATTTTGAAAGTCTCAAAGAAAGCTCGTAAGGGTAGAAGTGTCTATCATATTAAAACGCTTTTGGTTATATTTGGATTCGCGAAAAAATTCTCAAAGAACGCGTCAGTATAGTGCTGATTTAAATTATTTAACAGATAAGTCGAACAAAATTAAAAATTTTAAACACGTCTTTTTAAAAATTGGGTTGCCTCTCGTCAAAAAAGTGATGGGAATAAAATCTGCTTCCTTTTTTGCCAGATTTACTCAAGTTCATTTTTTGTGAATTTCGGACCCAAGACTTTGCCCCAAAAAATACTTAAAAACAATCAAAAAGTACACCTATACTACCGAGTCAATCGCTGAGCAAGTTATATAAAAGTGAGCCTCTTAAGAAGCCCCAAAATTCCAAGAAAGGAATAATCTCCATAAATGCGAGAAAATGCTTCAAAAATGTTTTCTAATTACAATTTTTGTATTTTGTAAAATTTATTTTAGAAATTCCATACTACCTCTTAATTTTGTAAGCTACATATTTTGCTCAACAATCAACCCAGTAGTTAGGCGTAGTTTGTATTTGACTAAAAGAAACCAAAATGTGCTGAGTTTTGGGTCTGAATTTCGCAAAAAAAGTTGCACCAGATCAATTCTGGCCAAATCTCATGCTTATTTGGTTCTGGTCTATTTTTCAGTTTTTTGCAACTCTATTTGAGAAATTGGCCTTTTAAGTTCCCACTTTGGTTTTTTCTTTTCGTTCGTCGAAATGAAATCAACGCTGTAGTGAAAATACTCGTTTAGATTCTGTTTTTTAAAACTAAAATATATATTCCCAATTTTGTCTCAATTGAAATTTTTGATTGAGAATTTTCGGATGTCGAATAATCTTGACCATTGTTGGGAACTTTTTCGGTAGCTTCAATTGGCGTTGTGTTTTGTAGAAGAAAAGCGGCAAGTAATAAGTAAGTTATGATTGACCGATTGCGAATGACAGATGAAAATTTCTGGAAACTTCCTTCATGTTTGGGCGAAATATAGAGTCTCGCTTGTTTTCTACAACCGCTAGTGCAATCAGCTCGCGATGTTTTCGGATTTCTCTGATCAATCATCATGCTTTTTGATGCTGTAAGACTTCCAAGAAATTGAGTTATAAATTCTAATGAAACGCTGGTTAAGAAAAATGTGTAGTCAGTTAATTAACCTCACGTAGCCATGGGTAATTAGAGGCTCTTAGGACAGATAATTCCACTTCTTGGTAAAATTAATGCTGAATACTAACTTGCTTGAACGATGATTTTATCGAACTTTGATGCAAAATACAAATTGAGCTCTGCCATGGTCGATCGCTTGATTTGTACACTCAGTTCTAATCTAGTGTGTCACTAACTATTGAGCAACTAGTATAAATGGATGTTAGTAATACTTCAGTTGTATAGTACTGAAGTTAGACTTATGTTCAAGTTCAAAACTAACGCAACTTTGATGTATTGGTGATGATCAACAGCGTGAAATTCAATTGAACCACAAATATGTGGAGAGTGAACGTGTGTGCTTTTTAAATTCTATCGGCAATTCACAATAAAAATGCCATCTGGCAGAAATTTTAAAAGAACAAGTTTTCCAATATCAGTTTAAATGCTAAATTTAGATATTGAGTGTGATATAGAGTTTTTATAGTGAGTAATCCCGTGCGAATAGCTGCTCATCTTAAGCTTCTACCAAGAAAATAGCGGAACATGTAGAGAACCTAATACAAAAAAGGGGTTCAGATGAAAACTCAGATAATAGTTATTGGTTATGAGCAGATTTGCGGTGTTTTTAAAGTTAAGCTTGTAATGCATTCATATGGAAATATTAATTTTTTTTCTTCTGGGCCAAGTTTTTATTTTCGACCAGCGAGGTGCCGATGAAGTTCGATTCTGGAGCATTTTGTTTTCACGCAATTCCAAGTCTCACATAAATTCCAGACGGGTCGAAAGTTATATATTGAGTAGTCCTGTTTCGAGCTGTAATAAAAAGTCGCAAAACTACCCATCAAAATCTGTCTACACGTGGTTAGTAATTGGATTCATGGGCACAAGATTCGAACATATTTTCATTTTCTTTTTGGAAAAAATAAGGCTATGAAAGTTAGCTGCTACTTGCTCAGCCACTGGCTACTCTTGTTTCGATTCTTATTTTAAATGGGACTGTGATCAAATTATTTACAGGTACTGGTTTTTAGTATACTGTACAAGTACAGGTTTTTTGACAACTGGAATTAATGGTTTTGTGTTTTTTGCAATTTTTTAGCAATATTTTTCTGGGACTACATACTCTTAGCGTTTGTGTCCTAATTTATACAAAAATTCGCCTCGACTTTGAAGTTGACGATGATTACGTGGACGGTTATGATGACAGTCGAAATTTGATAAATAATGAAGATCATGATGATGACGACGATGATGTCATAACTACAGCAAACAGCTGTTTGCTTTTGTAGTTCTCTCCAAATCATTGTGGTAGCTTTGTCACTTGCAGTTTAGATTCTGAAATATCTGGCTGAAGTTTATTTCCCTTTGAATATTAAAAAATAGTTTCGAGTTGAATTTTATTTTTAGATAGTTTTGAGTCTACAGCTGTTGTTTGTTTATTGATTGTTAATTCGTTCGTTTTTCTCAAAAATGTTCGCCGTGAATGTTAAGTTGGACTGTGAACATGTTGCTGCCTTGAGTGAACCAGATCTGAACAACTTCTCCGATAGTGACCTCGACTCCTCAATTGAGTGCCAACAGGATGGATGCAATCAGGAGGAGACATGGATATGTCTGACATGCAAGGTGAGTAGGTGATTTTCAACGACTTGCGATACCCATAGAAGTAGGGATCATTATGGTGTGCATGGTGATTTGATTTACTTTACGACTGTAGTAGCAAATTATGATTTCCTGTCTGGAACGATTTCTCGTTGATAGTTTATGCTCTTAAGAAAATTTGTTGGAGATAGTTTTGATCCAATTGGTTACAGACACGTACCATCGTTAATTATTCACCCTTGCAATAAGCAAGAGTGTTGAAATCGGATACAAGACTTCTTTTCCCGAAAATAACTTTGTTCACAGAATAGTCAAAATTAGAAATGGTAAATTTAGGTTCAGTTCATGATAAGTTCAAATTTTTAGGCGTCTCTGGCACACTCGGTTTTGAGATAACGAATACGCCTGAGGCGGAAAAGGTCCTGGGTTCGAATCAAAAAGCATGCTGTTCTTTTAAACGAGAAAAATTCAGTTTCAAAAAAATGATTTGCCGGCTTATGTTATGTTAATTTAGTTTCCACATCTTAGAACTGATTTTTTTTGTTGCTGTACGCAAGTTACATTGTTGTTGTTTGTAGTGTTTTGATGTTCTGTTTGTAGTTCTACTAACTTAGACTTTAGATTTTCTTTTTTGTTTTTGTATGTTTTGTCGCTGAAAAATTGTATTCTGCCCAAATGATTTCGGCTTACATTTTATTGGCTTAGTGACCTAATTCTGATTCATTTCGAGAGAAAAATAATTTTTATGCTCGCCTCTAGATTGCTCAAAACGCTAAAATCTTGTTAGAAATTATAGTTTTTCATGACAACTTTTTTTTCGACTTTGCTTTTTATTCTTTTCCTTTTTTTCCATTGGATAGGTTTCAGCTTATGTCATTTGGGCTTAATTTCCTCTTGTTGCGTCTTTCGACGAGCGAAAAAAGTTCGTAGGTGCGTGTGAGTGAGTTAGTGAACTCACTCACACTTGTAGGTGCGTGTGAGTGAACTTTTTTTATTAGTCCTTAATTTTTTTGATTGGTTTTTTTTTCGACTTTTTACCCTTGCGATAAGCAAGGGTATTGCAATCGGGTACAATACTTTTTTTCACTAAATAATTTAGAAATGGTAAATTTGGGTTTAGTTCATAATAAGTTCAAATGTCTTTGCGTCTCTGGCGCACTTGGTCTGGTGGTAACGAATACGCCTGGGACTGTAAAGGTCCTGGGTTCGAATCTGACAGGACCTGTTTTTTTTTCAATCGGTAAATAAATTGTCATCTTATTTTTGTCTGCTTATATTTTGTCAGCTTAGTTACTGCATCGTAGAATTGTGTTTTTGTTGTAAGCAAGTAACATCGTAGTTGCTTTTAGTGTTTTTTTTTTTAAATTTTTTTCCGCAGAGAAAACATCAAAATAGTTAAAGGAACTGTGTGCGTGTGCGTGTGTTTGTATGTACATGTGTGTGTGAGGCTAAGGAGAACTTAATAGGTTTTTAAAAAAATTTTTGGCTTTTTTAATTTCATTTTTTCGGTTTAGTAGGTTTCGGCCTATTTTATATCGGCTGAGTGGCCTCTTATTGTTTCATATGACGAGGAAATAAAGTTTAATGTGTGTGTGTTTTGAGGGCGAGGGGGAGTTGTTAAGTTTTTATAAGTCTTAGGTCTTGTTGATTTTTTTCGGCTTCAAGGGTTACGGTGTTTTCGGCTTTGTTACCGCTTTGTAAAATTTTTTCCGATGCTAATCTCACATTCTATTGTCATGGTATTTTTCAAAACTAGCCTTATTCATTTTGATGGATCTAGTTTTTTCGACATTTTTGATTTTGTTTTCGACTTAGCGGCTTTCTTGTGTTGTATCGCAAGTGGTGCGAAGCTCAGCTTCGCCTGTGTAAAAATATTTTGTTAAATCAGTTTTGTGTGACGCTTAATTTGCAGTATATCCTTGTTCTCTACGTATGCTCCTGTATGATAAAAAGCTGATTTCTTCTCTCAGACAATCCTGTATTTCAAAACCCCAAAATTCGTCGGTTTCTTTTTCTCTAGACAATCCTATGCAGCAGATATGCGAATGGACACATGTTGACTCATTCCAGTGAACAGACACACTTCGTGGCCCTCAGTTTCATGGACTCCTCCGTGTGGTGCTTCGAGTGTGACTCTTATGTGGATGCACCCAAACTCAGAGACATCACGGACAAAGTGATCCAGAAACGAATCAGCGAACTGTCCTGAATTACATTGTACAATTTAATTGATATTTATGAGTAATAGATATTTTTATGAAAATTGTTTTTAAGTGAATGTCTGGATACTAGTTTACTTGTTTGGTCCCGTGACAAAACTAGTTTAGATGATTGGTTAAGGGGTTGGTTACCGGATTCGTACCCGCTAGACTAATTAGGCCCGTTTCGACTGCCATATAGAGAAATAAAACTGCTTACTGATAGAATTAGCAACATACTGACCACAGCGTTTTTGAGGGACCAAACAATCAACTAGTACCGTCTGGTGCCACAGGTTTTCCACTGGCTTCAAATACCATTTTTCAAAAAACTGATCACTCTGCCGAAAATAGAAAACAATTTGCGATTGCTCTCCCTGTCGCACAGTTCAAAAAAAGTTGACACTTCCTTTTTTTTAAATATAGATATTTTTGTGTTTGGGATGGTTTGAATTTAAGCTTCAGAACAAGTTAAAATACCTTCATTAAATTACGAAAATAATATTGTTGGCCTATTTTTTTTACTGTGTTGATTTTTTATTTTGAAATTAGAATGCATCAAAAATGGTATTTAATTGCATTATTTCTTGCTTTTCATTATTAATTGCATTTCGAATCATTGCATTTTGATTCAAAATATTCGGATGTAAATATGACATTTCACTTGACTCCATCTGACATGTATTTGTATTAGGTGAATTTGCGTGGAAAATAAATAAATACACTGGCATGCAAGAGAGCTGTAGTCAGAATGGGGCCTTGGAAATTAGACGATAAGCAAATTAGATGACAGTAAATAAATTTAGACGATAACTCTTTGTGAAGTTAAACGATAAGAACGGGGCCTAGGAATAAGACGATAAGCAAATTAGACGGATGCTACAAAAAGGAAATTAGGCGAAATTGGTTCTTTACAGATCTGGCATTTTAGACAAAAAATTTTTTTAGAGTCAAGTTTCACAAATACAAAAAGAACATAAATGTCAAAACAATTAGTTTAAATGAGCATAACGGGTCGAATCCGAATATTACAGGAGAGTTTTGAATTGAATAAATTTTGCAGGATTGACTTAAAAACTTTCGGCCACCGAAATTTAACTTGTCTGCAAATAATTTTGTTTTTCTCATGCATTTTGTCGGCAAACCGTTTTGATTTCTCTCACTTTCGTCTATTTTCACTTTCGAAGTGCAATTTAGCAAAATCGCCTAATTTCCTTTCAAGTACCTCCGTCTAATTTGCTTATCGTCTAAATTCTCAACCCCCGATAAGAACACCAACATTTTTTCTTAAGAATGAGGTTACACAAAAACAAATAGACTCTATATGGTCTCAGAACTGATCAAAATTATTATGGTGAGTTAATTAGAAAACAATAAATCGAAACAAGTCTGCTCGTACCAGGGCGAAGCCCTGAATATTCCGACTGCCTTTGAAGGTTTTATGGAGCAGTAATAACATCAAAAAAAATAAATGTATCAAAACAAATGAAAAAGTTTTTTTACTTAAATTTGAAATTTTTTATGAAAATCATCCCCCTACACGCCATATTAAGTACAAAAGGAAAGATTTCGCTCCTTGTAACTAATCAGTTATAGTAAATAAGCTTCTTTCAACCAATTTGGAACGATTTTAAGACGGATTAACTCTCCGCTTACGCGTTAATAGTGCGAAATGTAT